TCTTTTAAGAATGTGTAATTTAGATTTGTTGGCAGATTGAATAGGATCAAATATATTTACTTGATATTTAAATTTAAATTAAAACAAATTAATTATTTTTATTGGAGGTTTTTGAAAAACAAATCAAAACAGAACCCTCTATGAATCTGGAAGTGGTCAAAGGTTATGTCCATCAGAGGGAATCCCATATTTCATTGTTATTTAAGGAGACTCAAACCTAATGTTTCAAGGTTGTGCAAGTGTGGAAGGATATTTGTGTTAGTGTTTTTATTTTGAGTCTTTTTTTGTGTTATTATTGGGGCACCACTCTAGCGCCTGTATTCATATCTTAAGGCACAAAGTTTAGTTTGTTAGTTGAGTTATAATTCAAACTTCAATATTTTTTTATTGAGTTGATCACTAGAGTTAGAGATTGAGAGAAAGTGAAAGGGGTTTTCATATTTAGGGGGAGTCCTAAATAGAAAGACATAGGGGTAGTGTTAGGAAGAGGCATTGAACTAGGGTTATCCATCTAAGACTAATTATACTAATACTGTTGAAAATGATTTTCCTTTCTTGGGTTGGAATCCCCCCGGACGTAGGTGAGGTTGCACCGAACTGGGTTACCAATTCTCTTGTGGTATTTATTGTTTTATGTTTGATCATCTTGTTTCTATTATATGCCAAATTCTAGTTTAATATGTTTAACATATTGGCTTAGGCATCTGGTCCAACATATGTTCCCTTAGAACACAATTTCAATTGGCATCAGAGCAGGCACCATATTCTGTTTGGGTGAAATCTAGGGAAGGTACTTTCTGTTCAAATGGATACTACTAAGGATTGAGGATCTTTCAATAGACCATCTATCTTGGTTGTTATAAAAGGTTTAGAAACACCCTGTTATTACTTATGAAGATGGAAAATCAATATTAGAGCCTGAATCTGATTGGATAAGTATTGAACATGATGAAGCTCTTATAAATTCCAAAGCCTTGAATACTATTTTCAATGAAGTGGATAATAACTTGTATAGTTTGATAAACACATGTACTGAAGTCAAAGAAGTATGGGAGATTCTCAAAACTGCATATGAAGGCACATTTAAAGTTCGTATGTCGTCAAAGTTGTAACTCCCTGTTAGAATAATATTTGGTTCTGCAATATTATCTATGAGTTTTGGTGATAACAAATGAGTATGTTTGTATGAACAATTTTGATACTCTAGTGTTTGTTATTTTTGAGTACTTAACAAATATGTTCTGCTTCTGATGGATGGCGTGACCAAGACATTAGAAGAGAATTAATTTCGCTTCTACGCTACACAAGTTTTGATGAACAGTAGCAAGACACTCCAGAAGCTTCTGAAGTGTAGGCTCTGATGTTTGTCTAAAGAAACAAGTCAAAAGATCTGAAGACAGAAGTTCTACTTATGTCCAGATGCTGAAGACTCGTGCTTCTTAAGACAACGTGCTCTAAAGAAACAAGTTAGAAGATTTAAAGACAGAAGTTTCTACTTAAGTCCAGATATTGAAGACATGTGTTTCTCAAGACAACGAGTTCTAAAGAAACGTTCATAAGATATGAAGACAAGAAGTTCTACTTAAGTCGAGATACTAAAGACTCGGGTTTCTAAAGACCCAAGGTTCTAAGAGAAGGGTTCTAAAAACCAAGTTTTGAAGACTCTGAAGACAGAAGTTCTAAATACTCTGAAGACTTGAAGTTCTAAAGATCCAAGGTTCTAGAAAAGGTTCTCACGACAAAGTGTTGAAGATTCTGAATATGCAGTTCTGAAGGCTCTGAAGACTTGAAGTTCTGATAACCTTGTGTTATGTTCTCGCTTCTAAACTCATGCTCGCAGAAGCCTATGAAGAGCAGAAGGAAAGAAGATAACATTAACGTGGTACAAGTAGTACATGGTACAATCAAAGTTTCATTTCACTACCATAAAAGGATGGACATGTTGCACGATCTTGTCCCCCCACGTTACTGCTCAAGCCGCCAATGATTCTGGAAATCCCAAGAGTATCTATCAACTGATATATTATTTTATTGGCTATATAAAGGCTTGAAGAATAAAAGAGAAAGTATGAGGCCTATCAACAAAATATCTATGCAAAAAACGTTATTCATAGCTTCCATATTTTTAGTCTATTATTCTTAAAATAGTTTACATATTCAGCTTGTGTAGAAGCAATATTATTGTAAACAAAACTTGTATTCAAACAGTTGTTTGATTTTCCTTAAGGGACCGGTTAGTTTTGTATCCTTGAGAAGTCTATGAGTAGTGTGTCTTAGAGATTTTATTTTCCTTAAGGGATTGGTTAGGTATGTATCCTTAAGAAGTCTAGGACTTGTGTGTCTTGGAGGTTGTTAGTCACTTGCGAGTAGCTTGTGCATTGTAATAATCAGTTGGATTATTGGATTAAACCCTCGTTTGAGAGAGGAAATATCATCTTGGCGGGTGAACTAGACTGGCTTAATAGTTTTCAAGTGAACTAGTATAAACATACCTTGTTCTTTACTTCCTGTTTTTAATTATTGTTATTATCAAGAGTGGAGAAAAAATATTTTTAATTAAAGGGGAATATTCTTAAAAGAAAAGTTTTTGGTTTAAAACCCAATTCAATCCCCCCCCCCCCCCCTTTCTTGTGTTTTTCATACCTTCACTCCTCACAACAAAGTTTGAGAATCTTAGAATGAATGAAGATGAATCCATCTCTGACTTCAACATTAGACTGCATGATATTTCTAACACATCTTTTTCCTTAGGAGAAATGATGTCTGGAAAATATCTAGTCAGGAAAATTCTCAGATCTCTACCTAAGAAGTTTGATTTGAAGGTTACAATTATTGAAGAAGCCAAAGACCTAAGAAACATCAAAGTTGATGAACTCATTAGTTATCTATAAACCTTTGAGTATGAATAAGTGGTAGGTCAGAAAATAAGAACAAGAGTATAGATTTTGTATCCAACAATAAAGAGGATGAATATCAAGGTGAAAGAGAAGAAAGTCTATCAAGGGCAAAAGACCACAATGTTTTAAAATGTGAAGGGTCTGGTCACATTAAAGTTGAATGTCCTCTTTTTCTATAGAAACAAAAAAGGGATTGTCAATCACTTGGTCCGATTGTGATTATGAGAGTGATAATAAACTACTAACAAGTTGATAGACTATATTGGAAAGTATGAATTTGGGAGTGAGTCTAGTGATGAAGATGTCTTAGAAGAAGAACTAGATGAAACTTACAGACCTTTGTATGCCAACTAGGAAGAATCTTTCATGGTTTGAGAGAAGAAACAGAAAACTATAAGTACTCTCATTCAGAAAAAATAGAAACCTAGTTAAACAGTTACATGTCTGAAAGAGGAAGTAACTATGTTAAATTCATAGCTTGAAACATGACAAAATCTGCTTGTATGTTAAACAATAGTTCTGATAAGTTAGATGAAATCTTAGAAGAAGGGGAAAAGTCTAGGAATATGTGTTGCACCCCAAAATTTGTCCTCATATCTTATTTTATCTGGCGTAGGCTTTACATTGCATTTGTATCTTTCCATTAGGAAATTTGCATAACATTCATTCATTGAATAAATGCATCTGAGGTTCAAGGGATCAGTAATCTTGCAAGTTAGGGTTTTCTATTGTTTGAGATGTACATATCAAATAAAGCATGTTTCTTTTGGTTCTTCTTCAAGCAGTGAAGTGTGGGATTAGGATTTATTTCCCTGTGTTTGATCAAAGTTAGGGTTTTTCAGCTATCGTGCTCTAGTTAAGGTTCTTCTTTAAGAATCATCAACCTTGAATTAGAGTTTCTATCTTTATGCTTGAGGCTACTTCAACTAAGGTGCAAAGTTTGTTTTCATGGCCACATTGATCATCTTTTCTTAATCTTCATCTAAGGATTTTCTTGAAATTTGAATCAAGGGTTCATGTTTTCACCATCCATCGAATTAGGATTTTGAACATGTTCTCTAAACTGCTAAAGCTTGGATTGCAAGATATAAGTCATGGCATGAAAGTTACTTGTGGAATCTTTATTTTTGTTCAAGGCATGTTTACACGAGTTACTTGTGGATCAAAGGATTGAAGATATGATTTCTTTGAGAGATGAAGATTAGTTTGGATTTTTGGTTTCATTAGCATACTTTCAAGTTGACTAATGTGTTCAAGTGGATTTTTCAAGTGGATTAAAATTGTTTAAACTTGCAAAATTGGAAAGTGTGAAAGCAAGCTACAAAGCATACCATGTTCATTCATGAGCAAGATTCTAAGTTTCGAGTGAAAGTCCTTCTTAAGTCATCTTTGGATTTTTTATCTTGTGAATTATCCAAGTAAAGTTTGGTGTATTATAGTTTATTCAAGTTGCACTTAAAAAAAAAAAGCATTGGAAACTCATAGTGCTAATTGAAGATGACTTGATTTCAAATAGAAACAAATTGAAGACTTGGCATTAAAAAATTAATACTTGATTCAAGTTACAAGTTGAAAATTTTGAAGTTGAATTTTGAGCAATGGAAGAAAAGATACATATTCAAATTTGGAAGAGAACCATTATAATTGCCATCCCCATTACATTACAATATCAAGAAAATTACACCAATTTGTGAGTTTCTATCAAAGTCAACAAAACTTCCTATAGTACTTCCCTACATAACTTGCCAGAAGCACGTGTGCGGACCCGCTACATCAAAATTACATAAAGGATACAACATGAAAAAATCAGGAAACTATAAGATAAAAGAGGAAAACTGTGGAAAATATATCAGAGGAAAGTTGTGAGAAATTTAAATAAGAAAAAGGCAAGAGAAAAATATGCAAAGGAGAGGATAAAACCATGACTTAGTACAGCTTAGTAAAACTTCACAAGCAAGTTTAATCAGACACAATCCTCACTCTCCATTTGATAACAAACTTTCTTCAATCCAATGATTGAGATTGGTCCTCCTAGCCTATAACAGAATTCCTTTTCAATCCAATAACACGATTATTAACAAAAAAAAAACTCACAGAAAATCCTCAACTAAAAATTCTTTCTCTCTGAAACTTGAGAACCGAATTTGCATCATCTTCAACGCACAAACCATCAACAAACCTACATTCATCTTCAGATTCAACAACATCACAATATGCGGAAATGAGATCGGAGAGGAGAAGAAGAAAAGAGAATACTAAAATCCAAACCTGAAACGCAAAGGAGATGAGTCGAAGGCTGAGCGGACGAACGGAGGCACGTGGAAGCCGCGACCGAAGACGGTTCGCGAATGGCGGAATCTGGTGCGCTGAAGCAGAATTGCGCCGGGAAGGTTGAAGCGGAGACGAAGAAGTTTGATTTGAGTTGTAGCAAAGAAGAAGAGCTGCCGTGGAGAGAAGTCGCACCGTTGTTTTGAGAAGGAAATGAAGAACGGACGGATGATGAGATAACGATGGAGACAGTTACGCGCTGTATGCCCACGGAAGAACGAGAACGACGGCGCTGCGTGTACGGCGAAGAAGGGAAGAGGTTCACGGCCGCTGAGTGTTATGAGATGAAGAAGATTATCGTGGTAGCTGAAAAGGCACAATGCTGAACCCTAATCCCTTTTTAAGAATTACACCGTTCCACCATTTCATTTTTATTTTTGTTTTTGTTTTTGTTTAGTTTTAATTTCAATATTAAATAAAGTTTAATTGGATAATTGTTGATAATAGGTTGATTTGGGCCGATTTGCTTCCTTGCTAGGCCCATGGCATTTTTCTGGTTATCTTTTGTTTTCAAAAAAACAATTGTGGATTCTTGATGAATGGGCTTAGTGTTTGCTATATCACACACTTGTTGAAATTGCCTAATTGCTTGAACATTGTTTGAATGTGATTTTGTTTGAGCTTCTTGAAATTATGAGACATGTTTTTAGTTAATTTCTTGCCTAAGTTATATCCTACCTTGATGTCATGTTTGAGCTCTAATGCCTTGAACACTTGTGGTTTACTTTTTAGGGACTAGTTTTATTGTTTGGTTGGTCTTTTGACCTAATTCTTGTGTGATCCTTGTGTGATCTTTCATCCATCTTTGAGACATGTTTGTGTGAATCTTTTGAGGTATACTTGTTGGCTTGTATGAGTTTCTATCTTGTTAAAGTCATTTTGTCTTGATATGCTAAGTGATGATGTTTGTTCTACACTTAAAGCCTTGAGTGCTTGTATGATTGATGATTGCTTTTGTTTTGGTTTGTAAAACCTTAGGGTAGAACCATTTGATAATGACCCTTAGGGGACCTTAATGGGTGTGTTGAGTATTTACTTTGACAGATTTTTGCTTATTGATTGATGACCTTGAAGCATGCTTAGAGTTTATGCTTTTGTTTATTTGCTACTTACTTGAGACACAAGTCTTATCTTGTCACTTATCTACACTTCATCTCTTTCTACTATGCCTACTTGTTTGTTTAAGAGGATGTTTGTTAACTTGCATTTCTATTTTCCTAGTTAGGTAAATTCTTCTGCTTCTTGACCCATGTTGTTATGCTTAGGATAGTTTAAGGTGCATATCATGTTAGGACTAGAACTAATACCCTACTTTGATGTGCTTTTATGACATTCCTCTTTGATTGCTTTTCATTGATCTCTTACGTTCCTTCTTCACATCTTCAAGTTTGTTTGTGAGATCTCCGTCTCTTTTATGTTTCACCACATTGACTTATGTGTTTAGTGATGTTTTATCATCCTTCTCTTTTCTTTGAGACTTTATGTTTTGTCATCTTAATATATGTGGGCTTGATGTTTTACCATCTATCTCTATTCATCTTCTATTTTGGTGTGTTACCATCATTATTCTTCTTTTGATACTTGATGTGTTATCATCCTTGTTTGATGTTTTATCATCTCTTCTCTTACTTGCTTGCTTATTTAGGTCTCCATATATATGCTTTCTTACTTGATGTATTTCCATCTCTTCTCATACTTTCTTGCTTGCTTAGGTATCTATCCTTATGCATTTATACTTTATTGATGTTTTGCCATCTCTCTTCCTTCTTGATTACTTATTTAGGTATCCACCTATATACATGATTGTTTGTGTGTTACTTGCTTATCTAAGTAGGTATTTGATTGGTGCCTTGTCTAAGTGCCTAATTGTGTTGTTTGCTTGCTTTCATATCTTATCTAAGTGTTTGATTACTTTCCCCTTCTTCTTCTTCTCTTTTGTGAGATTGACATGTTCCCCATAGGATCTTTAGTTCATTCTTCTCTAAGTTTGAACTAAATAGACCTTAGGTTAGGAATCCATACATGACAACATTAGGTAGATCTCCCTCTCATCCCAACTTTAGGTCCACAAGCATGAAAACTTATAGGATTGAGATCCCCCTTTTATTTAGTCTTTCTCTTTTGTATCCATGTTAAAACTAAAACTTCTTTCTTAGAAAAATATCAAAACACTTGATAAATAATTATGTGAACCATGTGTCACGAGCCTTAAGCCATTGGGAGGAGCATGAGGGGGGCTATTCTCGAACCTTGTGTTTCTTTCAATCATAGTCTTTAATGTGGTTCAAATCACAAATCTTTTTTCAAGGTAAAAAACACAAACAAATGCAAATCTTTTTATATTTGGACTTTTTCTTTTAAAACATTTTCAAAAAGGACATGTTTCACTAGCATCATTCATAAAAAACACACAACAAACCAAAACACATTTTTAGGTTAACTACGAGTGCCCTGATCCCCTATTGCGTGAAAGGTGGTACGTAGGCATAAAAGTTCACAATCGCGACGGGCACAACTAATAAAAACTTTCTTTTTGTATATACTTTGCATGCATTCCCTTAGCATTAGACTTTAGATTTTTATACACCCTTAGATTAGAACAAACTTGAGTGGATCCTATGGAGTACCACAGATGTGAGGGGTGCTAATACCTTCCCCTCGCGTAATCGACTTCCTTACCCTTTCTCTTGGTCGTGATAGCATGTTCTTTCCCTTCCTTTAGGTTTAATCAGTATTTCCTTTCCCTCTCTTGGGATAAATATTATTGATGGCGACTCTTCTTTCCGCCTCTTTTGCGCTTCAATGAAAATCTCAGACCAACATTAGGCTCTAAACCAAGCATGATAACACTAGGTGTTTCCCCTAATCATCACCCATAAGTCCATCTTTGTATGCTAATATTAGGTAGTTTTCCCTTTGTTATCCTAACCTTAGAACCATATTGCATGACAACATTAGGATCTTTAGTCTTCTTTAGACTTTTTCTTTCCCCCTTTTGCATCCTTAAAACTAAACTTCTTTTTATTTATCAAATCTCCAAAACACTTAACAATAAAGAGGCGAACCATGTGCCATGAGACTTAAGCATTGGGAGGAGTATGAGGAGGTGCATTTCTAACCTTGTGCTTCCTTGCAATCATTGTCTTTAATATGGTTAAAATCACCAAATCCTTTTTCAAGATGAAAAAATACAAACAAATCAAATCTCTTTTGCCTTCGGATTTTTCTTTTGAAAATCATTTCATAAAAGGATGTGTTATTTCCATTATGCGCAATACGACACATGAGTCCCTAAAGGTAGAGCAGAAATACGTCAACTGATAGAGTGTGAATGTAACATTATTCGCCTAAAAAACACAAACATAGCAACACTTTTTAAGGAGAACTACAACGTTCTGATTCTCTATTGCACAACGGGGATACGTAGGCACGAGGTTTTAAAACTGAGGCGAGTGTAATAATGAAAAACCTTATTTTTGTGTATATACAATTCATTCATGCATTCCCTTAGCTTGTAAGTTGTAGATATGACACACCTTTTGATTAGAACAACAAGAGTGAATTATGTGGAGTACCACAGACGTGAGGGGTGCTAATACCTTCCCATTGCAGAATCGACTCCCATACCCGTTCTCTTGGTTGCAAGACCTTGATCTCTACCTTCTCAGGTTTCCTTTGATGTTTTCCTTTCCCTTACTTGGGATAAATAAATATTTGATGGCGACTTCATTGTTTGATTTATTTTTCTAGTTGCCTCAATATGAAGGCTATATGATTTGACTACAGTTCCATAAACAAAAAGATAAAAATTCCCTCTAAGAAGTTTGTTCCTTTTAAGAAGAAAACTGAGTTCCTGGTGGGGGGCCACATGTATCAACAAATGGTTCAACCTATGTACCCTCATTTAAAGACTACAAGAACTCTTTTGTGATATGCCATCATTGTGGAAGATATGATCATATAAGGCCCCGTTGCTATAAATTTTATGGTTATCCTAAGTTATGTAGTCAACCAAGGCTCAACAGAAGAGCTGGCAAGAAGGTTCAAGAAATTAAAGTTTTGAAAACCAAAGTAACAACCACAAATCTCATTTCCTATACTTCTCTTATAGTTTCCTCAAGAGAAGATTGATATTTTGATAGTGGATATTCCAAGCACATGATTGGAGAAAGGAACTATCTAGAAGAGGTAAAACCTTACTCAAATAGTGATGTTACTTTTGGTGATGGAGCAAAAGGTAAAATTAAGGGCATAGGCAAATTGGTTTGTCCAGGTTTCCCTTACCTTGATGATGTGCTGTTGGTAGAGGGATTAACTGCAAACTTAATCAGTATAAGTCAACTATGTGATCAAGGTCTAAATGTGAGCTTCAACAAATCAAAATGTATAATTTCCAGCAATGATTAAGAAGTGTTAATGAAAGGATCAATGTACAAAGACAATTTCTATTTGTGGCTATCTCAAAAAAAATGTTAGCCCTTAACATGTTTGATATCCAAGGTAGATGAGACCAATCTATGGCATCGAAAACCTAGACATCTCAACCTAAAAAGTGTGAAAAGATCATATCTGAAGATGCTATCAAGGGATTTCTAAAGCTCAAGATTGAAGAAGGAAAAGTATGTGGAGAATGCCAAATAGGCAAGTAGGCCAAGATATCCCACAAGAAGCTCCAACATATTACCACCTCAACAGTTTTAGAGTTACTTCATATGGATCTGATGGGGCCTATGCAAGTAGAAATCCTAGATGGAAACGATTTGTCTTTGTGTGTGCGTGGATGATTTCTCAAGGTATACTTGGGTAAAATTTATTAAAGAAAAATCTGACACTTTTGATGTCTTCAAAGATCTATGTCAACATCTCCAAAGAGAAAAATAGAGTGGGATAGTGAGGATAAGAAGTGACTGTGGTAAAGAGTTTAAGGACTATAAATCATCTGAGTTTTGTTCATCTGAAGGGATTGGTCATGAATTATCTTCACCTATCACACCTCAACATAATGGAGTGATTGAGAGGAAAATAGAACCTTGCAAGAGTCAAATAGAGTTATGTTACATGCCAAGAATCTACATTGCTATTTTTAGGCTGAAGCTATGAACACAACTTGTCACATTCAGAATCATGTGATTGTACGATTTGGAACCAACACAACTCAGTATGAGCTTTGGAAAGGAAGAAAACCAAATGTTAAATACTTTCATGTCTTTGGTAGCAAGTGTTGCATCCTGGCATATCGTGAGAAAAGAAGAAATATGGATTCAAAGAGGGAAGAAGGTATATTTTTAGGTTACTCTAGAAGTAGAAGAGCATACATGTTATATAATAAACATACCAATAAAATGATGGAGTTTATAAATGTTGCCATTAATGATTCTCCTGAAGATAAACAAGAAGACGAAGATGATGTATCTACTCTATAGAATGATGTCCTAGTACATGTCCCAGACATGGGGTCTAACATTGAGTCTTTAAGAACAAGTTCTGAAAATCCTCAAATCAACAAAGGACCATCAATCATAATTCAGAAGGATCATCCCATTGAAAATGTCATAGGAAATCTAAATGAAGGATTTATCACCAGATCTAGAGAGATGATTTCCCCACGTGTTTTATTTCAAATATTGAACCTAAGAACATCAAGGAAGCTTTAACTAATGAATTCAGATCAATGTTATGCAAGAAGAATTGTGCCAGTTCAAAAGGAACAAGGTTTGGGAATTAGTTCCTAGATCTGAAGATATGAATGCCATTGGTACCAAGTGGATTTTCAAGAACAAATTTGATGAAAGTGGTAATGTGACAAGGAAAAAG